GAAAAGGTTGGACCCTGAATTTAACATTATCTTTTGAAGGTTAGGATATTGATTGTCTGGACAGTATTAGACTTTCAAAACCTAATTCTGAGACTGTTACCTAGGAAATTGATGAAATTGAGACATTACAGCCAAGGTGGATGAAAGTAGCCTAGGGCATTTAGCAGGACTGTCAGAGAGTAAGAAGGGTCTGTTATTGCTCTCCAGGTTGTATCAGTGCTGTGATTAAAACTGACAGGCCTGAAGTGGTAAGGCTATCTAGCTGCTTTACCTCTTCCACTCTGGCAAAGGGGCTGAGTCCAAGAGGGTTGTCACCACGACTCCTTAGTGATTGACTGTTTAGGATGAGTGTGTTAGAAGCAGACTGTATGAAATCAGAATAAGAGATCAGGGTCTGTTTGGGTTCATTGTTATCTTCCTACAAAATGGGATCACATTGTCAGCATATACAAACTACATAATATACATTTGAAATAGGAGAGAGGGGAGTGGGGAAGGGGAAAGTGAGTGATTATCCTAGAGAATGGACAGCTTGAGTGTTGAGAGAGAATGAGAGATAGGGCTATTTCTTCTTGTGACCATCTGGCTAGGCAAGAGACAGCACACCAGGGTACAATTCAGAGAAGCCATTCTCTGAATCAACATTGGACCCAGTGTGAAATAAGATGCAACACAGCCCTTGTTATTGCATGCTGTCCTTTCTTTAAAAATTTTAGGGTTTATTCTGTTGGAACTCTGGAAGACTCCAAAAGTACACAGTCTCTTAGGGTACCATACTGCATGGTTCTCAGCTTCTGCACCTCTTTACGAAACGTGGGGCAGGTAGAAAGACTGAATGGACTGCTACTCTTTCTAGAAGTTCTCCACCAATACTGATTGTTTAGCTGAGTATTTGTTAGCTGTTGGGCAACACTGACTTCAATAGAGTGTCACAATAACAATTGTAAAGGACTTGGAGTATTACATTCTGTGTTAATATGTAGAAAAGTACTCACTTGCTTTGAGAACAGTTGAGTGGATAGACGTCCTTTATACAGATTTAACGCTCTGTTATCCCTCATTTATGTGTCTTGAGAAAGTTTTTTTGTAAACAGCTATTTAATGATTTTCTTTTCAGTAAAGCCATCTTATACTCACCCTACAGGTAATTTTCTTTGTACGTGATTTTATTATCTCATATGTACTCATCTTACACAAGTAATTATTGTCTCATCACATTGTATTATAATTATATGTCTGTGTGTCTCCTGCTAGGCTGTGAGTGTGAGGTTAGTCATGGGTGTCATTCAACCTTGTGTTCCCATACTACCCAGGACAATGTCTGACATGTCTTATAAAGAACATGTATAGTGAATATCCATAGGTAATGAATGAATGAATAAATGAATGATATCCTAGTTTTAGAGTTCACCTCCAGAATACTGGCACTCCATGTCCAGTATTCGGGATGTAGTCCTTAAAAACAGGGATGTTGTTTTAAGGACAATAGTGGCAAATTCTTGTGCACCTTTTTTCCTCTTAGGCTATAGAATAACAGGCTGATGTGTTTCACTGTGATCTTACATGTGCTGTGTTTGATTGCTTGTTGACAATGAATTGAGACAGGTGCCATCATTGTGTGGCTGCTTTGGTTTCAAGGTTACATCTTTCCCTTGGTTGAATGTAAGTGGGTTTTACATTTCAAGATCTTGGCTTCTAAAACCTGGTGACTTGTATTTATTATTTATATTCTTGGGCATTTATCATTGTCTGACCTCTGTAACCCCTGGTTTCCATTTTGATCAAATGAGATTTGTGCGTGGCCAGCTCTAGGGTGACTTAGCACACTTAGCATAGCAAATGTGCAGTGAGTTGATTGAATAGCCTCTGACTGAGTCTTGCTCCTGCTTCGTTGTGCTGCAGAATTGTAATGTCTAACTTATCTTGAAACTGTCATTTTACTTTTTTCGTCTCACAAATTTAATCATTCTTAAGAGATTTATTTTAAAATTGTACAGATTATCATTAATGTAAAATTTTTGATAGATTAACCAGTTTTTCCCATTATGTCTGGTTAAAACTTTTCTTCCTATTTTCTTTACCTGGCTTTAATGACTGAAAAGCATTCTGGACACAGGAAAACAGAGACAAACAAAATGTATCAAATTGAAAGATGTGAAAAAAAAAATTGCAAAGGTTGTCTTTTGGGATGGTGATAATAGGAGGAGAAATTAAAAACTCTCTGATTTCTGCCTCTTACTAGTTTCCGAACAAGATTAGATAGAGAGTAATAAGACAGAGGTTCCTTTTTTCCTTCTTGTCTCAAACACATATTGACACCTCATGTGTAAGTGTGGTGTAGGGCCTGAAATTAAGTAACCTGTGTTACGTGTATCTTGACGCCTGGAGAAACTGGGAGAGCCTCTAATGACCCATCTATAAGCCCCCTCCCATACTGTGCTCTAGAGAATACAGTCCCCTAGCCAACCAACTCTCCAAGACCCCGGCAGGCTGACATCTTGATTTTAGCCTTGTGAAATCTGAAGCAAAGAAAGACACTAACCTTTAGCACTCTGAGATAATAAACAGGTGTTGTTTTAGCCTCTAAGCTTGTGGTAATTCATTAAGGTAGCAGTGGAAACCTAATGCAAGTGTTAATGAGTATTTGTGTTTGTTTACCTTGGGTTTTTCTTCATTGAAAAATTCAGGGGATAGTAAAACCTTTTTATTTAACATGAATGGCAAGAAACAGTTCCCTCAGCTAGTGTTTCCATTTCATAAAGAACCCACAGCTTAATATATATAAAGGGATGGTTCTGCATTGTGTCCAACACACAGCTTAATGTTTGAGTTGATTTTACTCTGCTTGAATGAACAGAGTTTCCCTGGGAGGCATTATTTTAACACCAAAGCCTCATTTTGAATCGCTGTGGGCTCCAAGGACGTTTCACTGACACATCGTCTGCTTCAAATACATTTTCTGTTTTAAAAGCGAGTGATTCCAGACCTTTAAAAAAGACAAAATGATAAAGACCAGAATAATGAACATTGTGTTTTTAGTTGCTACACTTAGATAAAAAGTCAAGCTGGGCGCAGTGGCTCATGCCTATAATCCCAGCACTTTGGGAGGCCGAGGCGGATAGATCACGAGGTCAAGAGATTGAGACCATCCTGGTCAACATGGTGAAACCCCGTCTCTACTAAAAAAAAATTCAAAAATTAGCTGGGCATGGTGGTGCGTGCCTGTAGTCCCAGGTACTCAGGAGGCTGAGGCAGGAGAATTGCTTGAACCCAGGAGGTGGAGGTTGCGGTGAGCTGAGATCGTGCCATTGCACTCTAGTCTGGGTAATAAGAGTGAAACTCCGTCTCAAAAAAAAAAAAAAAAAAAAAAAAGATTAAAAAGTCAAAAAATTGAAATTTTTTTTTTTTGCTGTGAGTGGCAAATAGTGAAGATTATGTATGTGTGAATTGAGTTTAGTGTGGTAACAAAATCTTACAGTAAAAAGACTACAACAGTCATATTCATAGTGATAGTATTCATAGTATGAATAATTGTTATTCATAATTAGGAATAAAAGGTACAGGGATTGCATAAAGCATTATAATTGCTATTTATAATTAGTGCTACTGATACAAAGCAGAACAAGCTTTCTGCCCTCAACTAAGGGGAAAGAAAGTGGGGAACTGGGCCAGCGCATGAGTGCTGGGAGGAACATGGCTCAAGGTGGGTCAGCTCCTACCTCGCTGTAGTAGGAATTGCCCTTTCTTCATTAAGGAACATGAGAAAATGGGAACTGAGTAGCTTGATCCTGGGGGTCCCCAATATCTGGCTAGGAGAGTTGGGGAGTGATTCTATGTCTGCCCTCCCCTTAGTCTCCAAGGCAGCCCTTATCCCTTTGACTCTGCTTTTGTGGGAGCTCCAATGCCCTCTGTGCTTCTTTGGTTTCTGCCCTGCTCTTCCCACAGATGGAGAGATGAAACTAGAGGCTTACCTCATCTCTTTCCTTCAATAATTCTACTTCATAATTGTGAGTTTTAAAGGAAGGCCTCTCCCTAGGACCCCAGATTCTCCTGTTACCGCTTGAAATTCCCATTAGTAATTTGAATTAATAAGCAGGTATCTTAGACTGGCCAAAGGCAGTTACTAAAGGTAACCTAACTATTCTTAGCATGTGTAGCATGAGCTAGGGGCTGTTCTAAAGACTTTACCTAAATTAACTTATTTAATGTGCACAGCAACCTTATGAGGAAGGTCTAGTGGTGTCCAGTCACTTGTCCCAAGTTACATGGCAATGATGTGTTCCGGATAGCTGGAACAGAATCCTTATGGGTCTGCCCTGGGATTTAGGCCCTCAGCCACTGTGCTAAACTGCTGTCCTGGATCTTTAATGGGGATTTGATTGCTTTCTTCCTAACAGCTAGCAGCAATACCTGTAGGGATGAGATTGGAAGTGAAGATGGTGAGGGCATACTAGGAGGAGACATGGTTCTAAAGGGAGTAGTGCTTGGCTTGGTGAATACTTTGGAAAAAGACTTGGAGGACATTTTTTCGAGGCCATTGTTTTCTCACCAAAAGTAGTCAGAAGTCACTCAAACATTTGGATGTCACCTTATATAATCAGTATTATAATTCATCCAGGGGCCCAGCAAATACTGTTGCTCTTCTTTGCCTCTCTTCCAACATCAGCATCATCTTTCTATTTTATTTTAAATTTATTGTTATTTTTTTAAAGATAGGGCCATGCTATATTGGCCAGGGGGTCTCAAACTCCTGGCCTCAAGCAGTCCTCCCTCCTCTGCCTTCCAAAGTGCTGGGATTTCAGGTGTGAGCCACCATGCCTGGCCCATTTTTTTCATTGTTTTACTGTTCTTGCTGTGGAAAACACTTATGTATGTTTGTGTGTCTGTATGAGTGAAGTGCTTCACTTAACAAGTTTTAAAATGCTTAAATAACATTTTGCAAATATTCTCGAAGTAATTAAAGACTAATTTCTTGAATTATCCTTTTCTTCCTCATATAGTATTGGCTGGATCCTGCAAAAACCCTTGCTGAACACAAAGAACTGATCAACAGTAGGTATTTAACTTTTACTTTGTAAAGGGTGGCTTGAAAATGATGACAAAGTCCATGATTAGTTGGGTGCAGAAGTGGGCTTTAGTACTGGAGAAGTGAGTACTAGTAGTCAAGTACCAGAATATGAGAATGTGTATTGTGTGTTTTGGTAGGCCCTCTCCAAACTCAGATTAAATTTAATCAGTCTCTGAGTGAATCTTAGTATTGATTTTGTCTGTGGTTTTTCTGTATGCTTGTCTTTAAAAATCTGACCTTAAAACAAAAAAGGCAAATAGGCATTAATGGGTGACAGGGAGGTTGCAGGGATGGGTCATAATGCCCAAGTTTTTAAAGAGCTTGAGTTTCTTGGGTCATGGCATGGTTTCGTCATTCAGACCACTCTGTTTCCTAAGCCAGTAAGTAAGAGGTGTCTTTGTGACCTGAAAAATGGTCTTCAGAGAGAGACCATTTTTGAGAGCCAGCTTTTTGCTTTTATCAATACGAATATTATAAAGAGATGCAGTATACTTAAGTATCTATTCCTTAATCTTAATTTCCAGAGCCCAAGTTTTTATTTATAAGCATAAACACAAAGGCTCCTTAAGTGTACAAAAGAATACTTTTAAATTCTTGTAAAATGTGCATAACGTATAAAATGGATCCTTTTAACCATTTTTGTGTAGAATTCAGTGGCATTAGGTACATTGTTGTGCAATATAAATGTCCATCTCCAAAACTTTTTAATCTCCCTAAACTGAAACTCTATTCTTCATTAAAGCATTTTGCTGAACTGTGTGAATTATTGCTAATCAAAACCGAGTGGGTTCTTCTGGCCTGCATTACCCCCATTCTCTGCCTGTATTTTCTGTGCATGTCAGCTTGTTTCCTGTGGTAGTACGGGTTGTGCAATGCCCCCATGGATCCAAGAACAGGAATGTAGCTATACTTCCAAATAGAACTGGAAACCTGGACTGCACAGCCATCAGAAAGTCCTGTTTCTATGAGCATCAGCATCATTGTTGTTTCTCATTGCATTTCCACCTCTGTGGTGGAAACCGCTGGAGTTTACAAGGTATAGCTCTAGCCTATTTGAACCAATTAAAAAATACCAATTGGAAAAAAAGAAAAATTTCAGGAATAATTTTTTTTTTTTTGAGATGAAGTCTCACTCTGTTGCCCAGGCTGGAATGCAATGGCACAATCTCTGCTCGCTGCAAACTCCACTTGCTGGGTTCAAGTGATTCTCCTGCCTCAGCCTCCCGAGTAGCTGGGACTATAGGTACACGCTACCATACCCAGCTACTTTTTGTATTTTTAGTGGAGACAGGGTTTCAGCATGTTGGCCAGGATGGCCTCGATCTCTTGACCTCGTGAATCACCTGCCTTGGCCTCCCAAAGTGCTGGAATTACAGGTGTGTGCCACTGCGCCCGGACTTTTTTTTTCGTATTTCTAGTAGAGATGGGGTTTCATCATATTGTCCAAGCTGATCTCGAATTCCTGACCTCAGGTGATCCATGTACCTCGGCCTCCCAAAGTGCTGGGATTACAGGTGTGAACCACCACACCCAGCTGATTATTTTAAAATAAACTCACAGGTTTCTTTTATAGGAAAAAAAGTTGATTTTCTATCCAGGTGATGAAAAAATTGTTATTTTAAGGTACATTATTAAAGTGGTCCTAAGCACATTTAAAGTGTCTACTTATTTACATGGTATGAAATATTTTATTTAAATATTCACTCTATGATGGGATCACTTTTTCTTTCTAAAAATGCAATATTAAAAATCTGATGTATAGTAAGAATAAAACAACTGGTATTATAATTGAATAAATGTTAGTGACTGAAGAGTCCTTACATTTTATCTCATCAATTTATTTGATAGTGAAGGAAAATGGCTATGAAATCTCCAATAGATTCATAAGAAGGAGAATCTGTAAAAATGATAGAACATTTGCTAGTTATCAGAATTCTCATAGGTAATCTTGTTATCCCTGAGTTAATGAGAAATTCCTTATCAAAGACCTCAAAATTAGTGTTCAAAAAAGATAGAGGATTCCCAGTTTCTGGCTCCTGTATTTTTTGCTAAAGTGAAACAATAATAACTTCACTTTATGTAAGAGTTTCTTAAACATTGAGTCTGTAGAATGACATTGATTCGAGACAGTAATTTTATAATTTGAATTATCAGCACCTGTTTTTTTTTGTATTTAGCATAGGAAGCCAAAAAATATATGGCTAGACATATCCTTGTCCAAAATGTTTATTTGTATAGCCTTTGATTGCTTTATGAAACAGTGATGCATGTGAGAGAATTATCTCACTCTAAAGGTATTATTTTGTTTTTCCCTGAGAGGCTATATAGAATAGTGTACCCCAAAGCACTGAGCTATAGATATTAGCAACTTTTCTTTCTTCCTTGTGATTTTAGGCAATTTGTTTAGCTCCTTGGAGCTTTACATGCCTTGCATATGTTATCAAATTGTAGTTGTTGAGAATCAAATGTTTATGAAATGTTTTTGTACATTATGAAATGTAACCAAATAGAAATGATGCCTTATATTTAGAACACAGCCATTGTATATGTGAATGGTAAATGAAGGGCTAGTTTGGGTCAGAAGACCTTAGAGAAAATTAGCCAGAGCCAAATGTTTTTAATTGTGTGCTTTTAACATTTCTGCTCAACTGTTCATACTGAACATTTGAAATGTGTGGGCTTGGTGGATAGCATGTAATCTGTCATGTTCCAGAGAATAGAAGCAGCTCTGGGGCCTGGAGAAGGCCTCTTCCCTTTGTGTACCATCTTGGCAGCATCTGTGCTCCTCCCCACCTCCTAGGTACCAACCCCAGCTGCCTGCAGGCACAGGCAGACCCATCTGCTCAGGAATACAGAGCTTGATTGACACAGATGGATAAGCTGAGGGTGGACTTCCTGACTCTTCTAAATATTTAATAGTCTGTTGACATCTATGTTCAGGGATAGAGGTGTATTTGTCAGAAATACACAGTGGTTAAACAAACAATAGCTGTAGCATAAGGAATGTCTTACACAGGAAGGCATAGATGAGGGGAGGGGGCAGGACCCTCATATTGATGGTCTCCCGTATGCCAGAAAGAGGGTTCCAGGGTGCTGCACACCTAAGTATGTGTATGTAATAATAAATAATAACATAGTTCATATGTTATAAATACATGATACCTTTATTCTTGTTTCATTTAATTTTGTTTCCCAGTTTTGGAATTTGGGACTTTATTCAGTTAAGAATATCAAGACTGGGGTTACTTTATGTCGCTTAGACAGTATTGAGTACTTTTACTGAGATACATGCTTCACATCTTTTCTAATTTGTGGGAGAGCTTTTGTTGGAAAACAAAATTAACACCTGTAACCACCAGTTGGTATACCACATAACAAATCCTTTTAAAAACAAAGTATATTAGATCTAGTTACTGCACAGCTTGGAAATATACAGTTTTGGAAACAGTACAGATTAGACCGATACCTTCAGAAATAAAAATATTTCTAGTAAAAGAATAATGTGTTTGGCACCCAGGGAGTTTGTATTTTCTTGCACAATATGAGTGTTTATTTTTTATTTATCTGCCCATGTACATACAATTCCAGGCTTTGTTTCTGATTTAAAAAAAAAGTTTGTAGGTGTCGTTCTTTTGTGGTAAATGAAGGATATGAGAAAGGTTTTCTTAAATATGTGAAAACACATTTTTAGATTCAGAAATGTTTAAGAATGAAACAAATATTGTCCTTAATTCTGTTATGTAGCCTCTGGGCTTTTTTCCTTTAAAAAAAGGTAAGAGTTATCATAAGAAAATTCTAATTAATTAGTTTTAAGGATAGAACTTTTCTAACCCTTCTTCCCAAATTTAGCCAGTTAGTAATTTTCTTGTACTATTAAAAAAATCCAAATATATATTAATTGATACTTTTTCACAAAAGGGATCATATTTCTGTGCTCAGGAATTTAGATTGTTGGTCTTTCCCACATCAAGGCATGCAGACCCTATTCTGACTGTTTAAACTTGCATTGTGTATGTCCTGTGGCTGGGCTGACTTAAATAGTCCACCTGCTGCTGAGCATTTCAGTTGTTTTCAGCTTTTTGCAGATAGATTTAAAACTATTTTTTAAATGAAATGATAGGTGAGTGTTTTTTAAACCATTTATTTTTTTTCTTTCTTCACTATGAAAAATTACATATATACTATAGAAAATGGGAAAAACATAAATAATAAAAATTGCACATAACCTCACCAACCAGACATAGGAACCAGCAACATTCTGGTATATTTGGCTATTCCTTTTATCTATGTGTGGGTATGTGTCAAGGTCCTGCTGTCACAGTTCTGAACCTTGCTATTTTTATGTTAGGTTTATCTTGTTTCTTTAGACATTCTTAGAGTGTAACTGTATGTAAATAGCTGTATAAGATACTGTTACTTTGACGAATTTATGGTTTTAGTGAAATGTAAATTCTATTTCTTATTTTAGCTGGACCTCCATATACTTTGTATTTTGGTATCAAATTCTATGCTGAAGACCCATGTAAACTTAAAGAAGAAATAACCAGGTATAGTATTGACTTTGTTTTTGAACAAATACCTGCATTGCATATACAAACAGCTTTATTTAAAACAAATTAAAATTGGGCTAAACATTTGAATGTGTGTCTGCCTGCATTTCATAATGCATATCCTGTGAGGATAAAATTTTAACTAGCATTGCATCAAGCAGATCAGTGTCTGGTGATAGATGTGTTTGGGAAAATGGCATAAACCTGAGTGACATGATGGTAGATCTTGCATCTGCTGCGATGAGGTGTTTCTGTACCGTTATTGTTTAAGCATACATTCAGACTTTGTATTCATATAAAAGTCATTTGAACTGCCTAGAGGAAGGATGTTCTGATGCTCAGTTTGTACTTCTAAATATACATTTGCACAGCCAGTTATTTCTTCTTAATTGGTTGTAGCTTAAATATTAACTATCCAGGTGTTTCAATAGGAAATGAGAAGATAATTGCTTTTAGTATTAAGAATGGAGACCAATGTTTTAATATATTAATTCACCTTTGTCATCAAATATTTGATATTAGTAAGACAGAATTTCCTATTGGTATTGATTAGGTTGTCAAAATAGAATATATCAACATCTGAAAGGGCTTATAAGGAACAGACCTACTGGTGACCTAGCTGCATGTAGTGACAAAAACAAAAGTATATTCCCTAACTTAACTCTAAGTGGTCAGTTTTCCCAGTTAACCCATATTAGGGGCTCAAATAAAGCCTAATACATCCTTTTAAAAAGTTGAAAATCATGTCTGTGGTAGTCTGTGGCTTTGTTTGTATTCCATGCTTTCATCTGTCTCAGACTTTCTTTTGTCTTTATTCTGGACTGCACACAGAAGAATGAGAAGAGGGTAGGCTAATTGGACCTTTCTCATCCCACTTTGCCATATTTAGGATTCATTTTCACTTTATGTTGTTTTATTTTATCCCTCGACTTAAGATATAATCGTTTGAACTCTAATGATTGATTGAATGATGAAAAGATTATATTTCATAATTTTTATTTGTTTAATTTTTTAAGACACAGGGTCTCACTCTGTCTTGCAGGCTAGAGTATAGTGGTGTAATTATAACTCACTGTGACTTCAAATTCCTGTGCTCACAGAATCCTCCCACTTCAGCCTCAGGAGTAGCTGGGACTACAGGTGTGTGTCACTACACCTGGCTAATAGTTTTATTTTTTTGTCTTGTTATGTTGACCCAGCTGATCTTGAACTCTTGGCCTCTTACAGTTCTCCTGCCTTGGCCTCCCAGAGTGCTGAGATTACCAGCATGAGCCACTGCTCCAGCCTAGAGATCATTTTTAGAAGCAAGCAGATGTCTGCATTCACATTGTTCATTATCATATTGTTAGTGAGCACTTTGAAAAGCCAACATACTGAATTTAAGCCTTCCCAGAGCATGCCTTTTTGGGGAAAAGGCCATTAGGATGGGGAGGAAATGTTGAGGAGAGGGGTGGTATTTTCATTAGAGTTTCAGAGGGAAACAGAACTCAAGTGGTATAAAAAATACACTTATATCTGTAACTCAGTAGAGAATTGCAAGGGCACAGCATTTAAAAAAAATAAAATGAAAGTCCTTATATTCAGGTTGTGAGTAATCTCTGTCTGTGCCTAAGTTTCCTCACTTGTAAAAGTTTCCTGGAGATGTACCTGTTTGAAAGTTTCTGTAAGCATTAAATGGAGTGATGTATATAAAGCTGTTATGATTGTCCTTGTTTCATACTGTGTTTGATGAATGTTAATACTTATTTCATCCTATCCTTTTTCTAGATGTACAGTGGAATTGCATCTTAAATAGGGGTTAGGTTCCAAAAATACTTGAGTTAATGTTAAGAAGGGAGAAAAAATATTTTTGTTTTATAATGCCTTACTTTACCTCTGTTCATCACACATTAATAGTGAACAGAAATTTCCCTGCAGAAATTTCTGAAGGCTCACTGACAGAATACATGGATTTTATATAAGGTACAACCCACAATGTTTTCAGTACAACTGGTTGTATTGAAAGCTTTAGACCAGCTTGTGTAGTGAAGAACCCATTGACATAGCTGGCTTCTGATTAGTGTCCATGATTTTTTGCCTAAAACATACAGTTGAATTTAAGTAAGTTAAATGTGCAATTAATACATTGATACACACATTTTCATTTTATTACTAATTTACATGAATATATTACCATTAATGGATCTGAAAAAGAGGAATCATATCAGATTATTTGGGCAAAAGCAAAAACTGAAACCAAAAAGCAAAATCTCCAAATATATGCTATTTAAGGAAGAGCTTACTTCTGCCAGCATTTTCAAGTTGAGTGTTTATCTTAATTTAGTTCTTTGGAAAATTGTTCCACCCTACTCTGCATTTGCTGTTAGGTTGTCTGTAATTTTTTAATATGAACGATCATGCTGTTGTAAACATGCTTGTACATATTTTATGTATATAGTTTTTTGACATGCTACTATTTCATACATATTTTATGGCCTCTTTCACCATTTAACCCAATCTTTTTACTCCTGCATGGTATTCCATAATTAACCATGTGCTTATGGATGGGCATCCAGTTTATTTCTTTTTTCAGAAAAATTACAGATAAGGCTACAGGGAGTCTTCTCATGCATATATGTGGCCATACTATTAATATATGCAGTAATGTTTCAGAAGGACACTGAAGTAGGAACAAAGACCTGGGGTGAATGTGATAGGAAAATAAAGTTTCAGATTATGAAAAATGTAAGTTAATAGAATCATCAACTTGGAGTCCCTGCTTGTGTTCTAAGATGTTTTCTGAAATAAAAATGAAATTGGGGGAACTTTGAAGTCGTATATTCTGACCTCTACTGTTGTAGAACATTTCTGACACATCAGCCAGCTTCTTGTTAAGCACTTTTAGGTAGGAAACCTGCTTTGAAAAAACACTAGGAAATTCAAAAAGAAATAATAATTCCCTGAAATTTCTATTATCAGTACTAGGTTTTCTTTCTAGGTCTGTGCAGATTAACTCTTTTCTTCGTCAGTACGTAAATGATTTGTGTTCTCAGGAGATCTGTTAAACGTATTTTCAGTTCTATGATATCCTTCCCTGTATTATGTGTCCTTCATAGCTCTGTGTCCTCCACAGATTTGATAAGTGCAATACATATATTGGTTAGAAAGACAGGCTTGGGAGTCAGCAAGGCTGAGGTTTGCGTCCTTGCTTTGTTACTCACTAGTGTAATCCTGAGAAGATTGCATAGTCTTTTGTAAAGTCTCAGTTTTCTCATCAGTACAATGGGAGTATGGTATTTCTTAAAAAAGATGGTTGGAGGAATACATAAGAGTGTACTTGCAATGTACTTATCATAATGCAAAGATATAAGTGTTTGATAATGATAAAGGTAGCTGACATGGAAATAGTGATGATTGTTTTATATTTTCAAATTGATTAAAACATTAGGAAAAGACCAGCTTGGAGCCCTGAGATAGGTCTTGCAAGTCTAAGTCAATCCAGTAATCAGACCCTTGTCATTGTAGGTGTTCATTTCACTATGAATCATTTTACTACCCCTTCTAGCCTGAATTTATTGCATTTGTATGTCAAGACAGAATGCACTTACGTTCAGTAACTGTTCAGTAACTATCTGGAGCACCATGTTCCAGTGTGCTGAGTAAAAGGAGACTCAGTGGTGACCAGGGCAAGATCTGCTTTCAGTCTGCCTGAAGAGTGAATCTGTCAGTTGTGTTGCTGACAGCCCTATCTGAAATGCTATTGGAATTTCCCTGAACTTTTAAGGATCTTAAAACTCTTTCTAAAAAAGAAAATAATGTTCCAAATGACTCATTCATAATACTTTCTAGATTCTAAAAACAGGTGTTTGATTTTTTTTTCTTAGTTTTTAAAATAGTATTTCACAGAATTTCGTTGGGATTGACATTAAGTTCATGCCTTCTTTTTGCAACCCAGAATCTTCACTTGGTGAAGATAGGCTTGTTTTATTTAGCTTAATCACTTCCTGTGTGACCTTCAGCCATATGCTTGCTTCCTGAGTCTTTATCTCTTCCTTTCATTGAAGGTAATGGTCCTCCTCTACCTCAGAGTTGAGGATTATATTTCATTATGGATGGGAAAGGACTTTGTGAGCTTTAAAGGACTGTACAAATGTAAGGTGATGTTACTGCTATTTGTTTTCATATTTTCATTATTGGTTTTAAACTTCAGAGGTGAAAGAGTTACTCTTTTGAGAATTACTGGACATTTTCTCTAGTGTTTTTTTGCTGAGTCATATGTGCCATTTTTCTGCATTATTTACTATCAGGTTATGATTTAAATATTTCTCTCTGACTCTCACATTTAAGTTTTATCAAGATTGGTTAGATAAAAGGCTATGTCCCTGCTCTTTGTGGGATGAAGATAACGATTGTGTTCCTTATTACATCTGTGTAGGTTGGTACTCTCATCTAGGTTCTCCTGTTTCAATTCAGCTAGCACCTGAAATCAGACTCCTCCCTGTCCATGCATCCTTCAGTTTTTTTACCAGGGCCTTAAGTCATTAGAAGGTGCACTGCAGGATTCTTTGGTATGAGCATTCATGATTGTTCTTGGCCAGGAATCTCATGGCAGTCTTCTGTTTTGGGCTTCTGTCTCTCTGTCTCTTCTTTAAGAAAGTCCTCATCTGTTCTTCTTGTCTCTAATTGCTAATGGTCCTCAACAGCTTGTACATCCTTGATGTCAATTCAGCTCTTTTCAACACACATGTCAACAACACATTAGATAAATAGAAAACTGTGAGGCCAATATTTCAGACCCATCTATCGTGTTGTACTGGCGGCAGTGGTGGTGTGTTAAATACAGATAGAGTGGAAGACCAAATGCTCCTCCCCTGAAGAATGTACAGTTTTGGGGCAGTGCATATACATCACTTTGTTAGTTTACATAGGACGTAACTGGAAACTGCTTCATGACGCCTTTGCTGTGTACCACAATGTATTCTGAAAACTTTCTTGTTAAGTAGATCTTTTTTAGTCAGCATTTTTTCCCCAGTATGATACAATATAACTAAAATCACAGTATAATTTATTGTCTAAACTCTGACACTTTAGAGAATGAAGAGTTATTAATAATTCTATCTTCATAGTAGGCATAAATTTGTACTATCCTAGGCAAACTGGCATATTGGTTCATCCTAATTAAAACCAGAGATAAACAAGGACTCAAGCATTCAGTCATAGCTTTAATCAGAATGACACAGAAGGAAAGACTCAGCAACTCTAAATTGCTGTAATTCAAATAGAATATTAAATTTACTGTAAGCCCCATAAAGTATACAAGGTAAGCAATACATAGGTAATTTAAAGTAGACCCTGAGAAACTATAAAATGTTTAACATATGAAAATATGATTTTATTTTTATCACAAATTTGCCTTAGACTCTAGTAAGATGCTTGCTATAATAAAGAACAAGTTTTAAATTAAAAATAGTTTATTTGCCTTCTTCAATTTTTGATGTGTGTTTTTTTTTTAAAACAGTGAGTTAAAGATCTGTGATACCTTTAAAAGGCAGGCTATCCAGGCAAGTTTGAGTAGGTTTTTGTTTTCTTTATGAATTTCTCAGAGACAGCAAATAATGTTGCCAGTCTTTAGAATTCTGTCTATTTGTGTATCCATGTACCCAACTTGCAAATCAACAAGTATTTATGAGCAGCTATTAGGTGCTGAGCCCTGGATACTAGGAATGCAGTTACCAATGTGATATGGCTCCTCTTTCTTTGTATCTGTTTGTCTTTCTGTGTTTCAGTTCTTTGTTTTCTAATACATGTTTTTAATCTCTCTGTTCCTCTTTCCTTTTGTCTTTGAAACTGATGACTATGATTTTTGTATTTGGCAAAAGATTTGATTGTCAGGTCAAATGTTATAAAAGTCTTTTTTTTTTTGAGAGAAGGTCTTACTCTGTTGCCCAGGCTGCAGTGCAGTGGCACAGTTAACGGCTCACTACAACCTCAACATCCTGGGCTCAAATGATCTTCCTGCCTGAGCCTTCCAAGTGGCTGTGACTACATGCGTGTACCACCATGCCTGCCTAATTTATTTTTTGTAGAGATGGGAGTCTCACTATGTTGCCCACATTGGTCTCAAACTACTGGCCTCAAGCAATCCTCTTTCCACAGCCTCCCAAAGTATTGGGATTACAGGTGTGACAGCCTCAAAGTCTTAATAGAGGAAGAAAAACATGCACCTCTGACTCATTTCCTTAAAACAATACACTTCAGTGGGGTGCCGTGGCTCAAGCCTGTAATCCCAGCACTTTGGGAGGCCGAGGCGGGTGGATCACGAGGTCAAGAGATCGAGACCATCCTGGTCAACATGGTGAAACCCCGTCACTACTAAAAATACAAAACATTAGCTGGGCATGTTGGTGCATGCCTGTAATCCCAGCTACTCGGGAGGCTGAGGCAGGAGAATTGCCTGAACCCAGGAGGTGGAGGTTGTGGTGAGCCGAGATCGTGCCATTGCACTTCAGCCTGGGTAACGAGCGAAACTCCGTCTCAAAAAAAAAAAAAAAAAAAAAAAAAAAATACACTTCAGGAAAAGAAATTTGAAGATGCCAATAGTAAAATACAAGTTTCCAGCAGCAAGCAGTGATAATTCTCACAGCTGTCTCTTATTTATAAGGCTTTTCTTGAGACACCCTCTGTCACCCAGGCTGGGGAGCAGTGGCGCAATCTCAGCTCATGGCAACCTCCACTTCCTGGATTCAAGTGATTCTCCTGTCTCAACTTCCCGAGTAGCTGGGACTACAGGCATGCACCACCACCCCTAACTTTTTTTTAGTAGAGAAAGGGTTTCACCGTGTTGGCCTGGCTGATCTCGAACTCCTGACCTCAGATGATTCACCTGACTAAACTTCCCAAAGTGCTGGGATTACAGGCATCAGCCACCATGCCCACCCTTGTTTATATAAGGTTTTCTATTTAAGTTCTCCTGATTACTTGACTCTGCTTTTGTCCTCTTCACGAGGAGCACAGATGATCATTATAAAGTGGATTTAATATTCTCAGATGAGCATTCAGGGAATTGAAAATAGTTAACTAGGGTTGGAAAAGGGTGTGCAAATTACAGGACAGTGTGGTCATTGATCAGTGGCAAGAAGTGGCTCAAGAAGTAAGCAGAAGCCTTGCAAGCTAGCTTAAGGAGCTTAAACTTGAACTTTATCCTAAAAGCAAAGGGAAGTCTTTTGAGGGTTTTTTTTTCTTTTTTTTTTAACTGAAAGAGTGACATGATTCTGTTTATATCTTAAGAATCCTGCTTACTACTTGGGCTGATTGGTAAATATGAGTGATGGCAGAATACTTAGAAGGATGTTTTAGAAATTTAAGAGGGAGCTACCTGGACTAGGGGATGAAGAAGAGTATAGGTTTCAGAAACAGCGTATTTGGTGATTGACTATGGGTGCCAGCGAAGATGACACATTGTTCCCAGGTTTATTTTACTTGGGCATCTGAAGATGGAGGTGCCATTTACTGAAATGGGAAGTGGGGAAACATGGGGAATTGAGCAAATTTTCTTTCAAGCATGTGGTTGCAATCAAAGTTGGTACCAGTCTAATTGAAATAATTAATGTGGTATCTGACATCTAACACAAGTGTAACATTTCCTTACTGAGGGCTTTGGTGGTGAGCATTTGGAGAAGAGATATTTGTCATAGCTGATTATTATAGTTATTTTCTTTGTGTTTTGTTTTTTTTTGTCCTTCCCAATGACATTGAGTTACCTTGCAAAGCAGAAGTCACGAAAGGACAAACTGAAGTGTGTGGGTGTGTGTGCTGGTGTGTAAATGCTAGCATCTGAGGATGATGTGGATGGTTCATAAACCTCTGCCCCCTCTCAGTCTACTGGCAGAATAGCTGAATAAGAAAAAAATAAAGCTAGTTAGAGTTACATAACATCCTGATTGAGAGAGTTCTAGGGTCAGCTTGCTTGGATTCTATCTCTAACTCTGCTGCTTACTTAGTTGTGAGGTTTGGACAAGTTATTTTGCCTCTGAGTCTTATACTTTTCTTATCTGCCCAATGGAGAAAATAATACTGCTGACTTTATTTTTAAAGTGTTAACCTATTATACATAAATCACTGATGAGTTACTGCATAGCGTTTAGAGCAGTGCATGGTACTACTATTATAACAGGTTTTCTTTTGGCAACATGGATTGAGCAGATAATGGGCAGAGTGTTAAATAATATAGGTTGGGGTCGTTGTGATTTGTTCCTTCCAGCAAGAGCATGTTGTTGGTGGTAGTGGCAGTAATGATAGTTTTAAAAAGCTTGGGGTTATCCTTTACATCCACCCTATGAGGTGGATGCTGTCAGCTGTCCCAGTTTTGTAGGTGGGGAGAGTGGCTGTTTGACAGGTTCAGCAGCAGCCCAAGGCTACAGAGGTAGTGAGTGCTGGGCTGGGAAGTAAGCCAAGCAGTCGAACTTGAAAGCCACACTTTTTAGCCACAACCCTGTATGGCCTCTGTGAGGTATCTTTAAGTACTTCCTGTTCATTCAACAGCCCCCTCACACAAGTGTGGCGGGGGGCTTTATTTTAATTGAAGGTGATTTGTTGTTGTTAACCTTGATTATCAGGGTCTGAAACCTGAGGTTTGAGTAGTGTAAGAGGTAATTAATCTCTCTTTTCATTTCTCTTTTAGATATCAGTTTTTCTTGCAGGTGAAGCAAGATGTCCTTCAGGGCCGCCTGCCCTGTCCCGTCAACATTGCTGCTCAGCTGGGAGCATATGCCATCCAGTGTAGGTGCCACTTAAGCATGTTTGCCTCAGAAATGTCTGGAGAAAGTACTTGCATTTTTAAAAGTGAATTTACATACTAAAATTCTTCTTATCCATGAGATTTTGAAAAAAAAATGAAGTTAATTTGGAATTCAAGTTTTCTTCAGTGTTCCTTCGGAAGAGGTAAAAATGGAGCCAAGTACAAATCCCTTATGGTAGGTTTTTTGGAGTTTTAGTCACTGGAATAGCATTGATTCTTGATTAAGTGGAGGGTCTAACAATCTGTTCTCTGTACATCTCATCCAAGTTCACTGATTCTCCTTCCCCCACCCTCACCCAAGCTGCTTTGTGTCAGAGATCTCATTGCTTTTGCACAGCTGTTGTGAAGAGTCTGCAGAGTCTGCATGTTCAGGTGCCATCGCTATGTTCAGGGTGTGGCTTGGGTATTGAGCTCAGTGCTCTTCAGCTCTTTGTGTTAATGTGGTGGCTGTGTGGGGTGGCTCCAGTATGCATTGTCAGTTTGGAGACTGAGGCTGAGACTACTTCCGGTAACAAGTGGACACCTTCTAAGAAGCTAGATATGGGGAGAATGAGACAGCATGGTCCTTGCCCTTGTGGCACTTGCAGACTAAAAGTAATCTAGAAGAAATATGCTAGGAAAAATGTCATATAGATGAACTGGGTTGGGGCTTGCAAGATAGATTAACGTAGGGAGAAATGTTTTTATAGGAGTAATATAGTGGGCTGTCTGGTATCATTTTGCTTCTTTGTGTAAATTGTAATGGGATATGTACAGCATTGTATTGCATTTCCATGATCATTATTTCAGGCAAAGATGTATTGAATCACATGCACTGTTTCTCGGTGTCATTATCTGAAAGGATATGTTGAGGTCATTTCACTTCCAGCATTTCTAATGTTCGTACTCTAAATGCTGTTTACAACATTTTACTTCACATAAATTGGTAAGAGTAATTGAAGTAAATATGATGATATAATTACAGTCTTTGGCAAAGCAATAATATAGAACCTTGATTTAAAATTTCAGAATGTGTTGCTACCATCCATATATGCTCATCAGAGTTGTTTTAGTAAAATTATTTAGTTGTCTTATATGTGAATTTTAATAAGACATTTGACAAAATGTTTAAGCATATTAGGGTATTTTATATCTATATTTTAAGGACTTTTTTCCTAAAATGGAAAAAATTTATAATGTCTTTTTTTTTTTTTTTAGCGGAACTTGGAGATTATGACCCGTATAAACATACTGCAGGATATGTATCTGAGTACCGGTTTGTTCCCGACCAGAAGGAAGAACTTGAAGAAGCCATAGAAAGGATTCATAAAACTCTAATGTAAGAATCATTACATGCGTCTTATTTCATCATCCATCAGTCATCATCTTATGACATTGGCAGACATACGAAGTTTCTAGAATGATAAATTCTTTACCCGTGCCATGAATATGCTAATATTCTTCTTTGTATAGTTTTTTTTAACTGCTTTTAATTCTAAAATGCTCATTGAAAACTTCAGTAATTTAAAAAGTATAAAGCAGAAAGTAATTTGAATGTGTAAAGTCATATTTGTGGTCAGTGGCCTTTCAGACATCTCTTTCTATGTAGAATTTCCCATAGAGAAAATTTGTTTTACATAGGTTCCTGAATTTATGATATTACATAGTGGAATAATTCTGTAAATACTAGATGTTGCAGTCTTTTGTTTTTAGTCACCAGTATCTTGTGAAATTAATTTTTCAGCTATAAATATGATTTTTAATCACAAAAATTTTTAACCATAAATGGACTAATATATTCTTTGATGTTTCCTCTTTGTGAAGTATACTACTTCTTCACAGTTTAAGCCAAGTCTTATTCAGGCCATAGCAATGAGTCTGGAAATCGTGATGATGCCAGTGTGGAGCCTTTGAGAGTATTGTGTTATCACCACATGCGTTTCTGAGAGTAGATAGACTCCCCTAGTAGGATTTTCAATTTGTGGCCTACAGCATTGAAGTTACAATTTCATTATAGTTAATTTTGGTTAAATTTTTTAAACTGGTTAACATTGCTTTATTTCTTGTTATGTAACACACCCCCTTGAATATGCTTGGTTTCAGACCTGTTATAGTTAAGAAAAAGAAATGGCTGGGCATGGTGACTTGCTCTGGTAATCCCAGTGCTTTGGAAGGCAAAGGCAGATGGATTACCTGAGGTCAAGAGTTTGAGACCAGCCTGGCCAACATAGCAAAACCCTGTCTTGACTAAAAATGCAAAATTTAGCTGGGTGTGGTGAGGTGCACCTGTAATCCCAGTTACCCTGGAGGTTTAGGCAGGAAAATTGCTTGAACCCAGGATGGGGAGGTTGCAGTGAGCTGGAGTGCATTGCACTCCAGCCTGTGCAACTAGACCAAAACTCGATCTCAAATAGGATAAAATAAAGGAAAAATGTAGAATTAATCCATTTCAGTGAGTGTAGAAGCAGAAGTCGGCTGCTGAATTGCAATCAGATAGAGGGGCCCTCCATCTTGTATTAGCATGTACTAGAAGACTCTCCAACCTGATTGTAGAGTCCTTCATTTTCAGGTTTTGCTGAAGTAGATGCTCAGAGAGTGCTTGTTACAACGTTACGAAGGCCAGTGTGTTTGGCACATTCTGAGAATACTGATTATACTAGGAGTTTCAAAGTACAATTAAACATTGAAATTATCGAGGAGCTTTGGGTAGAGGCTCTCATATGTCTTTTACATGATGGTGTTGACAGTGTGACAGTACTTTCTAAGAATAAAGATTGATCAAGGTGTGGTATGTCTAATTTGATGAACATTCTTCATGAGTTAGAAAAGTATGGTATACTATCCAGTGCATTGTGGCTGAAATGAAATATGTCACTGCAGGATTTCTTAATTTTTTTAAGATTCGACCTCCTTTGGTTATCTTGTAAAATCTCACTCACTCTCTCTCATACACAAACACACACACACTTGCACATACATGTTTAATTCCTCTGTGCACATTTCTGGCTCATTTCTGTGCACGTTTCTGCTCACCCTCATCAGGAATGAATGCTGTTTTCTGTATATTATCACCAATGAAGATTTTGGGAAGAATTCTGTGCTCTATATTAAGAAAATGACAAGCAGTTTTACAATCTCTGTACATTAATTAATGTATTTTCAAACTACACATGTGCTCAGGAGATCTTAATGTGACCCCAGTTGGGTGGTGGCAGCCCATTCTCTTCCTCCTACCCACCACTGTTCTAGTTCTCTTTGCTTTGGATGGAGAGCTGCTGGTACACAAAGACATTTTATTCTTTGTGGAGGGAATGCTGTTTAATTTGAGTGTTTATATTCTCAGTAACCTCTTCAGGGATTTCTGAAACTGAGAATTTTTAATATAAGCTGGGACATTGGGGATAGGCTATAATGAGCCGGAATGGATTTGGTAAATGAAATTAATATAAGTATCACTTCAGAGTATAAAATTTTGTTACCAAGAAGCAAAGGCCTTCTTGAAGTACAAGGACTTATGTTTGCATTAGTTAAAAGGATTATTTATTTTTCTAGTGAATACAATGAAGATCATTTGCATCCCTTTAAGTACAGTAGCTATTGTAAAATAAGCCTCTTTGTTTTTGTGCTGGGTATAGGGGTCAGGCTCCTTCTGAGGCTGAACTGAATTACTTGAGGACTGCCAAATCCCTGGAGATGTATGGTGTTGACCTCCATCCCGTCTATGTGAGTAACATTTAATTAACACAAAATATTTTAAGCTGATGACATTTTTTAAAAAAACTCACTGAGACTCCCAAAGGAAAGCTGCAGTCCTGTTGTTTAGCAAGCAGATGATACTTTTTTATCTGTATTTTTCTAACATAAAGCAGCTCTTGTGTGAATTAAACCCTAATGAGTTTTGCATAAAAATCTGTGATTGTATTTCCATGTGTAAAAAAACCTTTAACTGGGCTTGAAAACACAATCTGGATAACAGATCCAAAGGGCTGAGCTAAACATCGAAACAATTTAAAATTGGTTTATAGGCCGGGCGCAGTGGCTCATGCCTATAATCCTAGCACTTTGGGAGGCTGAGGCAGGCGGATCATGAGGTCAAGAGATCAAAACCATCTTGGCCATCATGATGAAACCCTGTTTCTACTGAAAATACAAAAATTAGCCAGGTGTGGTGGTGCACACCAGTAGTTCCAGCTACTCAGGAGGCTGAGGCAGGAGAATCGCTTGAACCTGGGAGGTGGAAGTTGCAGTGAGCCGAGATCATGCCATTGCACTCCAGCTTGGCAACAGAGCAAGACTGTGTCTAAAACAAAAAAATAAAAAAAAATTGACATATAATTGATTGTATTAGGAAACAGGAGGATTTTCCAAAAATAGGTTTTATGGCAGCAAAACATAAATAAAATCACTTGCCAGGTAAAGTAGGCATTAGGCAATAGGCCAGGTACAACTACTGTTGGTTTAGTCAATATGAGGGTTACCACATACTGTAGGTATCACTACATTAATAGAAATATCCTCGCAGATTTTTTTCGGTGGTTTATGAAAACTTGCTGAATAATAGTCAGTGAGAAATTACACTGAATCTGCACTGAGTGTTCTGCATCCAAGTTTTAACCTTTGAGCTACTTCTCTTAGGCTACCAATGGATTATTTTATGCCAATGAGATTAGAATGCCATTGCCTTTGAATTAAGAGGAGTGTGGGTAGCAATAGTTATATTTTATTTGAGAAAATGAGCCAGGTGCTTTATTCTTTATAGGAAATGAATTGCTGAAGACTATTTATAGACTGATTTTTTTTTTTTCAATTGGATCATGGAATTCAGTTTTTAAATAACCCCCATAGAACTTTCTGTAGTGTAAATAACACTCATGCATTCTTTTTGTACGTCTTGCTCATTAGCATTTCCTAAAAGAAAAAACCATCTCATAATATGTTTACAGTTAGAAGCATTACTGTTTATATAGTTAATGTGGCAATAAAAGTTACAGTTTTGGGGAGAAGTAGTAGTTCCCTGATATGTTAGATTTCAATCTCAGTAGGGTATTAAATGCTTCATAGCACTGTCCTGTAAGAATGCTTCTAAAACTGTAGAATCATTGTCGTTTTCCCTTCCCTCCCTTTAGCCACATTAATCTTGTTAGGTTTTCAGTTTTTAAAAGAAAACATTCTATAGGAAATTTATTAAAGAGAGTCTTCTGCAAGAGGCTTCTATATTTGTATAGTGTTATACTAATTAGAAATCACCTTTTGTTGATGGTAGGAATTTGTGGCAAATGAGCTAGGTTGATGAGACTCTACACATTCCTTTAAGATTTGAATTTTATGAACTGAAAGTGGGCATCGGCTGGTATTCTTCCAAATGTGTTATGTTCTTTGTGAATATAATTTTGCAGGTTACTGCTTATCTTAGAGTAGAAATAACATTATTACAAACAGTTCTGTGCATGTCCTTGGTACCCACTCTGCCACTCTTTCAAGATCCCATTTTTGTAATTTGGATTTATTATTGCCTGAAAATAAGGGTTCTCTAGTCTTTACCAGAAGATACTGTATTTTTAAATTTTTGAGCAGTCATAAAGTTACAGGTGGAAGTAGGAAAAGACATGATAGAGATTTCAGAAAATTCAAGTGTGTGTCTGCTAATGATTGCCTAAACTTTCTAGAGAGAGTTGGGGTGGGGACGAAGTTGGTTTCATGATTGTCCATTTCACAGATAAATGAAGCCATTCAAAAGTACCCTTGATAGAAGCCAGTGGTTCTCAGTCTTTGACTACACAGAATTATCATCTGGGAGTTCTGTGTGTTTTCACTGCTTTGGCCTCTTCATTAAAGGTTCCGACTTAACTGTTTTTGGTAGTGCCCAGGCATCAGCATTTTAAGCTGTACAGTCATTTTAGTTAATATGCTGCTAGGGTTGAATACCACTGTGTAAAGAATGTTGGGTAAGTCATCTGCTGGCCTGACTGAGTCTTAGCTAGTTTTAATGAAGAGAAGTGACAAGTATGAAGAATACTAACAGAAAGTTTCCTTTTAAACTTTGAAAAAAAATAAGCAACAAGTTAGCTACTATCATAATGTATCTAGCTTTCTAGGCTGATGTCTTTCAAAAATGCAACCCAATATTAGTGTAACAAATTCTATTTTTATGGTCAATTATATTTTGACAAAGAGATTTTATGTGAATATGTGGTTATAGGCATATGTTTGTTTTTGCAGGGAGAGAACAAGTCTGAGTATTTCTTAGGATTAACTCCGGTTGGTGTTGTTGTCTACAAGAATAAAAAGCAAGTGGGGAAGTATTTCTGGTAGGTATGGCTTGAGAACAGAGTTGGCACTCTATGTTTTGAACTTACAGGACTTCTGTGTCAGTGAAAGAGTTGGGGAAAAGAAAACAGGTATATTTTCAGTGGTTGATAAATAAATGAGTGAAATTGGGTGTGAGTTTTCTCCTAATGCACCTCAGTATATATTTTCTCTGTAAATTTCAGACACTGTGATTCTAGACTCTCTTCTCCATGGGAGCTGCGTGTAGTAGGATTTCTCACCCATTTCAATATGTGCTGGTAGGCTGTGGATCCAGGACTACTTTGACTTTTAGCTCTAAATGGGGATGAGCTGGAGAGACTGGGGAGCCCATGGCCCTGCACTGTGTTTGGGAAGGCAGCCCTGCCACAACCTGGGGATTCCAAGGTCATCCGTGCATTTAGTGGAGAAGCATAGGACAATGAAAATGGAGTTTTCATTAGGGTATATGGAGAACTCTCTGTCTCTGTATGTACTCGGTATGAAGCAGTATATAAAGGAGCCAATATTCACTAGTCTTTCCACTGGACACTTTCCTGATATTCTGAAAGGTTAGTACTTAAAAACAGCAACAACACCATATGCTTTGTTTTTTTAGGCCTCGGATTACAAAGGTTCACTTCAAGGAGACTCAGTTTGAACTCAGAGTACTGGGAAAAGATGTAAGTTTCCAAGCCTTTAGCTTAAATTACAAGGGTGGTGTCTTGTGTGTTCATTTATAGCTTAAAAGACATTGTGAATAAATGTTTTCTTCAGCTGCTTCCACATGGAGCCAGATTAATTAACTCACATGCACAACTTCTCAAGGAAGGAAAGGGAAGTGAATAGAAATGAATGAGAGGGTAATGGAGAAAAATCGGGATTTTAGTTTTAGCAAAGGAAAACAAAACCCTTTTAGGGCAGAGGAGAGAATAGGAGGTGATCATTGTTATTAGTGAAATTTGCTTTCCAGTACTCTCTGTGAGGGTAGAAGGTAAAGGTTGTAATCAGAAGGGTATAACCTGCATTCAGGAATGTAAAAATGTGTTCTAATTTTACTCTAATGTTAATTAAACAACCTTTGGGAGTCTCGCTTCTGCTCTTTCCCTCATTGAGTGTGATAGACAAACCAGATGGAAATTCTGGATGCTTTCAAGGGAGAATGTATGGTGAGAGTGCAAAAATGCCGGCCTTCTTTGCAACTTGGCAGTGTCCTCTGGGAGTATTTGGGTAATGGGCACAGAGTTTGTTGGTGCCTGGATGTGCTTTCAAGCCTTGACGAGTAGCTTTGAGAAAAAAGAAGGCAAGGATGTGAAAGCTTCCTTTTGATCTACCTGTGAAAATAATGCTTCATTGAAGTGCTACTATATGAAGTATCCATATATTATGGGGTAGATGAGTGAAAATAGAATGTTTAATCCATATTTATGGAATACATGAGTGAAAACATGATATAGGAGAATCTATCCTTCTGTCTCTGATACTAACTTTGTGCAGAACAAAAACTAAATGGAATTAAATTGATTTTCTTGGTTAAAAAAAAGTAAATCAGTGCTTATGCATGCACACCTTGAGACACAGGATCCGTATAGTTGCAGCTACATTTGGGTCATGGTATTCGGCAGAATGCCTCACATGTAGTAGGAACTTCATAAATATCTATTGAATGGTCAATGAACTGATGCACGGAGACAGACACTATGTGCTGCCAAATCAGAAAACCTGTTGCTACTCTTCATTCTCCTAATAGGAAAAAAAATATCTCATCCTGGACGATATGGCATGCTGCCATTTACCAATACAATTAAAATTGGATTTTGAAATGAGTTTTAACAAATTGTAAGGAAGGGAAATTCCAGATTTTTAAAGAAATGATAGTCCAGAAACCACTTGTTATTCTTATGGTCTAGTTTGGAGGAAATCCAATGTGTTCTTCAGCTCCTGATTAGACATCTCAATTTTAAAAGATGTACTAATATAAGACTGAATTAAAATCATTCAAAAAGTAGAGTAGCTAATTACATAGGAGGGTTTTGTAGTTTTCTCCTTATCTTGCCATGAGGTTCACATGAATAATAATTCATCTAAATAATATTAATAATGCAAGGAATAAGGTCTGATAAATATGTTTGAAAATAGTATTTCCAGTTATTTTTAGCAGAATATGATATCAAAAGACTCTTATGGAAGCATTACTATTATTTAAAGTATTCTTTCCCTTATAAGTTATTTTTGTGAGTGAGGTCTTTGGTGAATGACTTTAATGTTATTATTAAAGTGCCTTAAAATATATGTCTACCACTGTCTCAGGATAAATATTTGGTAAAGTCACAGATAACCTGCACTTTCAACTACTTTCTTCATGATTAGGCAAAAACAACAGCAACAAAACTGACATCATCGTGTTATTTTTCAAATGGCAGTCTCCATTGAATATCCCTGTTTCCTTTGTGCTTGGCTCAGGTGTCTCCCACCCCCACCTCATTCCTTCCTCAGCTTTGAGATGAAATGGATGTCTGGGGAGGCCCAAGGCACTGCACACTTCTAGGTCATTAAGCCCAGTATCAGTGATCTTTAACGAGGTGGCAAAGCAGGTTGCATAACTTAGAGGCTTGAATTAAAGGGAGGTTTTTTTTTTTATTGGTATTAAATATCACATTAATTTAGTCAAAGCATTCTATTTCCTGAGCATTGTTGCTTGAGGGTCTTTTCTCTTTCTTTACCAGGGTACCCCTCTGTGAGGCAGTCATTTACATAATGGTAGAATTAAGTTGATTATTATGGAGGCCTAAGTGTAATCACAAATTGAATTAAAAAGCCCCTTAAAACCCATTACTTGGAACAGTAATCACATTCATTATGAAGAATGGTTGAAATGCTTATTCTGCTGGTTTGCTGATCTGGTCAGAAAGACTTAGTATGGTCAGTGCGTTTAGGCTAAATTCGGAGACACTTTCATGCATTAAACTTCAAAATAAGTACTGTTGTTTACATAATTTTTTACAAACAACCAAACTTTTAGTATAAAGACTTTACATGTTCACTGTCGAAAATCTAGAAAATACCCTGCAAAGAAGAAAATTAAAATTACTCATTATCCTAAAACTCAGAGGTATTAATATTTTGATACAGTTGCTTCTAGATTTCACCCTATCAGTGTGAATGTATAATATAGTTATTTATACATAATGTAGATTATCCCCTGTGTGGTTTTGTACATGCCTTTGTATTTTATATTGTATCATGAGAATTTTTCCTTTTTTGTTAAATTTATTCATATGTTTTGGCATGGTGTTTGTTTTCTTTTTATGTGTTTTACTTTATTTCTTGCTGTTGTAGATGCAATCTTTTCTATTTTCTCTTCTAGCTGGTTTTTGCTGGGAGAAGTGAAAGCCATGGAATTTTGTTTATCTCAGAACTAGTTGTTTTGCTAAATTCTTGTTGTATTCCAGCCAAGAGTTCTTAATTTGATTCTCATAAATTTTTATAGGTGTATCACTTGCAAATGAAAATAATTTGTTCCTCCAATTCTATTATTTATGTTTCATATTTTATAGTGTTAGTCCGAACTTCTAGAAGAGTACTAAGTGATGTAACAGTATAAGGCATCCTTGATTGACTTTCTGTTTTAATGAAACTATCACTACTGTTTTATCATTATGTGTTTTTGGTTTTAGGAATATGTGTTTTTTAGTAGGTGTTGAATTTTTTTAAAGTTTATTATCAAATGGTTGATTTTGAATAACTTGAGAGCTAAGACTGTTGCTTGTTTACTTATTCAACAACTTATGCATATTTCAAAATCCAGGCAAGAGATGATAGTGTCTCTATCTCAGTGGATCAAGGTGACAATAGTCAAAGTGCAAAGACGCTGTTGGATTATGGATTTTGCCACCAGGGTTTCTTGAATGTGGACAGATATTACAGAGAGGAGTCCTGGTAACTTAAATGAGTTTGGCCTGAAAAGCAGGAAGGATAGAACTACCATCAGGTGAGGTGGGGAAGGCTATGGATAGAGCAGACTTGAGGAAGATCAGGAGTCCCTTTTGAACATTTTTAATTTGAGATGTCTTTTAGACATCTAAGTGGAGATACTAAATAAGAAGTGAGCTATGTGAGCCTGGCATTCAGTACCAAAGTCTGAGCAAAATATATAAATTTGAGAATCATTGGCGTCTGCTAGTTTTCGAAGCCATGAGACTATCTGAAATCACTAGGAGAATGAGTATAAATGAGAAAAGGAGAGAGAGAACCAGCAAAGAAGGCTGAAAAGAATCAGCCAGTGAGTTAGAAGGAACATTAATTATCCTGAATGCCAAGTATTAAGCATGTATTAAGCATGTGTCATGTATTAAGCATGTCATGTATTAAGCATGTGTCAAATGATGCTGATATGTCAGATAGGGTAAGGACTGAGAATGGGCCAGTGAATTTAGGAATGTACAAGACCACTGACAAGATGAGTTTCAGTGGATTGGAAGAGTGAGATTCAATGCAGCAGTTCCCCTCTTAGGTATATATACCCTAGAGACATGTTCTGTGCAGCACTTATGTAAAAGTGTGAGAAATTAACCCAGAATTCCATTAACAGGAGAATGAACAAATAAATTCATGGATACTCAATTAAGAAAAACCCATAAGAGAGGTAACAGTAACAGGAAGATAAGAATTAGAGATGGTAAGTATGGACAACTCTTTTGAGGAGTTTTGATACAAGGGGAATAAATAGAAATATAGCTGGCAGGGACTATGCTAGCATCAGGATATGAGGAGGATGACTTTAAGGATGACAGCCACCATGAAAGATTGCAGAATCTCATAAACTGATAAGATCCAAAGCTGGGAGTTTTAGGAGGAAGGAATGAGAATGGTCTGAAAGCAGCACTGTGGAGCAAGGAGGATCCTCCCCTACTTTTAGGCTCACAGATGTGAGAACAGTGGAGACAGAAGACACATCCATCTCTTGAGGACTGCAGCAGAAGCAGGGTCTTCAGGGAGAGCCAGGTGAAAGACGTATAAAGGAACAGATTGAGGAGCGAGGGGGTTTGCGGATGAGAGGCCACGCATTCCAGAGGGCACAAAGCAAGGGTTTCAGGAGATGGGTAGTGATGAAAAAAGAGATAGGCGAGGAGGTGTGCTGAGTGAGCATTATTTGGGAGTGACTGAGATACACAGAGATAAGGAGCATCATGAGAATTGGTCCAGTCAATTAGGAAGAGAGTGAGGATTGGGTTTCCATGTCTGCCCTCTCCCTCTGGAGATGTGGGATACAAGACCTAAAGAAGATGGGGTGGTTCCAGGGCACCACCTCGGTCAGCCTGACCCTTTTCAGGGGAGGGCCTCTCTTACCTGTGGGTTTGAGCTCAGACTCAACACTTGAGAATGGATTGAGGACTTAGGGGAAATTGGGTGTGACATTGACTCTGGGCTTTACCCTCCATGATCAGATGTGCATTTCAGAAAGCACTCTTTGGCTGCAGAGTGGAACACTTCACAGATGTAAACACAGAGGCAGACAGGATAGGAGATGTGATCACAGGGAGTTGAGAGGACTCACTGCAAAGATGGAGAGAAGTGGGCAGATGTGGGAAGCATTTAGGAGGTAAAATTGTTTCTGATTGGAAGCAGATTCAATGTTTTTGTGGAAAATGGGAATTTATGATCATACTGGAATTTCTTGATT